TTTCTGCTACTTCGTTCTTCATTTCCACTTGGTTGGTTTTCAATGTTTCTATATCTTTAATTATGGTGCTGATGTCCTTACTCATGCTGTTGAGCTTCCTCAAGATCATGGCTCTGAACTCTACCTCTGATAATTTGCTTAGTTGCATTTCATTGATCTCATCTTCGATAAGAGTTCTCTTGTTTCATTTGGGATTTGTTTCTTTGTTTCCCCATTTTGGTTATCTTGGTGGGTTTTGGAGCCTGCCATATTTTCCCTGTGGGTGTTGGTGTCCTGCTGTTTGTGGCTCCCTCTACTGGGTTTGGATGAGCCTGAGTGGGCCCACGTTAAACATCACTGTCAAGTCTTCCTTTCTTGGATAGATTTGTAAGCCCAGGAAAGGTTCAGTTATCCTCTAGCTTTTTCCTGGAGGCTAGTAGTCTCAGTTACTCAGTGCCTTGGAATGTATCCCTGGTGTTCTGCATAAGAGGATTTTCAGTGGGTGGGACAGATGCTGGTTATTAATGAGCCTCAATTTCCATTTCTTTTCCTCACCTGGAAACGGCTGAATCTTTGAAGGGGGGCAGGGCTGCTGCTTTTCCCCACAGCTTGGGGAAGGAGCACACTGGCCACCATCTTTTGTGGCCGCAACTCAGCAAAAACTGTGTGCCCTCCAAATCCTGGGTGTCCCCGCCGAGTTCCAGCCCAGTCTGCCCTCCCTCTGCTGTAGCCCCCAGGTGAGTGGCTGTGGCTATTTTAGCATTCTGTCCCTGTTCTCTGTGCTGTCGAGCGGGCTTGGTCTTTATTCCTCAAGGGCTCTGCTCACAGCTAATACTGCTGCTGTCCGTGGGCTCCCAGGCTGCCAGCCATCCTCTCGTGCCTCTGCAGATCCTACCAGTGTTCCTTGGTTATATGGTCCTATTCTGCTGCTTTTCTGTTGCTTTTTTCCCGCGGATTTGTCTTTATTTTAGTTGTAATTTCTCTTTGGTCCTGGAGATCGTCTACATATCTTCCATTCACTCTGCCTCCATTTTTACATCCTCTCGGCCTGTCTTGTGCGCAGCTGGGTCGCACAGGGCTTTTTCGTGCCCCCATACCTCGCAGGTCCCGCGGGTAACTGGATCGCATAGTTCCTGCTGGGTCGCACAGGCCTCTCTGGTGCCCCAGCACCTGCACGTCCCGCAGGCGGACAGCTGGATTGCACCAGTCTCTCTTGGGCTCAGGCTTCCCACTGCACTTGTGAGCAGCTGGACTGCACAGGCCTCTGAGGAGCCCCAGGTCCCGCTGCTGGCAGTTGGGGAGTGCTGCTGCCCCATGGTGCTCAGCTCCTGCTCTGCTTTTGCTGTAGTTTTTGGGTATGGGTCTCAGCTGCATGTCTGTGCTTCTGTTGCCTGGGGATGGATGTCAGCACCCCAGCCTCATTTCCTGGGGGTATATCTCGACTCTGATCGGACTGCTAATATGGGGGATAGTGCTGGGCTCCCGGCTGTCTGCGGTTTCTGCAAGCAGCACCTTGGAAGCTCCAGTACTGTGCTCCGGTCTGTGTTGACACAGAGTGTCCACTGGTTTGATGGTGCCAGGTGTGCTGGTGGGTTCAGGTGAATGGGCTCTAGCTGCTCCCACTGCTTCTTCCCAGGGAAGACCCGGGATCTTCCAAAATGGTGGGACCTCCCCACAGCACATGGAGCAGTGCCCTGAAGGGTCGCTTACCACGGTAGCCAACTACTCCCGTGCACAGCATAGGAACTTTCTGTTCAGCAGCTCTGCACTGCTCAGGTTTGGTTTTTTACCTTCATGTCCACTCACACTCTCTCACACACTCACCCTCCAGTCCTCTTCTTTATTGATTATAGAGAGAGAGAAAGGGAGTGGGAGAGGGAGATGGAAGCATCAATGAGAGAGAACATTGACTGGCTGCCTCCTGCATGCTCCCCACTGGGGATCGAGCCCACAACCAGGGCATATACCCTGACTGGGAGTTGAACTGGCGACCTCCTGGTGCATGGGTCAGCGTTCAACCACTGAGCCACACCGGCCGGGCATCATTTTCATTCTTAAAGATGAGTACAGCAAGACTTAGGCTAACTAAATGCTCAGGTTCATAAAGCTTGTCAGTGGTTAATAGGTGACAGGACTGAGTAACTGGAATCCAGGCCTTCTGATCCTGAATCCCATGTTCCTAAGTAGTATGCCACTAGCCTCCCATCTGCTAGAAACAAATTCAGGATGGAGTCCTTCTGACAATTCGTTGACAGGGCCTTTCCTTTTGGAGCTCTGAGCGCCTCTTCTAGGCACTGCTGGCTGCTCCTTTGCTCATGTGTGACCTATCCTGTTTGGCCCTGCCAGCATTTCTGTTGACCAGTACCCAGGAGTGTTGGAGCCACAGGTCACCCTTCATAACCAGCATTGACAGAATACCGAAATAGTTACAGTTCATGGCAGCAACTATATAATGTTCGTGGCTGGGGGCCATGTCACCAGATAATGGTCTCTTGCTTTTGGATGAATGCTAGGTTGAAGTTAAGGCATTCATTGAATAGAAGCAGAAGCAAAAGCAAGGGAGAAATTGGTCCATTTTCCAGCTTTACTATTGTTACTGGATCCTGCTGGAAGAAGCAGACCTGCACACTCAGAGAACATCTTGGCTAAGTGATTCTTGGCTGAGTGACATGAGCAATTTGGTGTACCTCTATGAGCCTTGGCCTTCCTGGTTTACTAGAACATCTGCTCCCTCCTTTCAAGGTTGCTGTGAAGACTGAGATAGTGACAATAACTTAGGGAAGGGGTAGGGCCAGCCATTCCTTCCTACTGCAGTAATTGTTGCTGTTATTACCAGCTTGCAGGTGCTTCACAGATATCCACTGGGATCCTTACAACATCTTTCAATAACCAGGTTTTGTGACTCAGGAACAACAAAGGCCCTGTGGTGACAGAGAATACGCTGCAGTGCTAGGACCCCACTCAGAGCCAGTTCGCATTTGTTTCTTGCATTTGACCCTAGAGCATGCAGTCTAATCTCTCCTGGATTGTTCTGCAACTGTGCCTCCAGTGACTGCAGGCTGGCTCCCAGACTGGTTCCATCTTGGCTCAGCTGGGCTTCCTTTGGGTTAGCAGAGGACAGAATAATTGCCAGCATGTGCATTGCCTTGTTCTTGTAGGTTCAAGGGAGAAACTCAGCATTTTTGTTGGAGCCTGGGTTGGGTTTTTTAAAAAACAATAAATGTAACTTGTGTACTCTGCCATCATTGCTGACATCCTCATGAACTATCCCTGCAGGTTATTAAATGATTAAAGATCTAATTTATGAACTGTCCATTTCTGAGAATTCTGAATGCAGCTCTTGGTATTGCTCTGACCTGCTGTAGAGAGAGTGAGAACAGAGTGTCCCTGATATTCCTGAAGTCTAACTTTCAATTCAGTACAGCTTGCTAAAGATGAGGTGCTCAGGGCTGAAGCTTTCCCCTTGACCAGGCTGAAGGATTAAATATTTGCATCTCCCTAAAGTTTCTGAAGGCCCTAGGGGACATTTTTCTTGATAGGACCTGAGGTTTCCTTTGTCCCCAGCTAGCAGTGAGAAGCCCTTTTTATATTGGAGTACAAACATGTCTACATCTGACTGTTATGGTCAGAGGGGAGTCCTATGGAGGGAGCCAGGAGCAGGGATCTCCCTTTCTGCTCCATTTCTGCCTTCCTTGTGCCCATTGAGGACCTTCTTTGCTAAGCTGCATTTAACTTTAGACCCCAGATGGTAGAACCATCTCATGTACAAGCTAAGATTCTTTTGACAGAAGTCATACCCTGAACAGATAGGTTTTATGTTGCTGGTGCAGTACGAAATATTTGAACAAGTTGCCAACATTTAGAAATCAGGACATCTAATTTAAATATCTGAGTTCTGAGTCTCTTGACAGAAAACTTTCCTGCCAGCACCTGACCCCTCCAGCCCAGGCCACCTACCCTGGTGTGTGCTGTCCCAGCTACCTCAGTCCCGGCTCTGGCCTTGGCCCTGAGCTTGGCTTTCTTACCAAGCAGGACTTTTCCCACTTGTAGTAGGTGATATACCTGGCCCCTTATCAGAGTCACCAGACATTAAATTCACTCCCCCTGCCCTCAGAGTCTCTGCCTGAGAGCCAGAAGGCCCACTTTCAAGTGTCTATATCCTAAAGCTCTGGTCCCTCTTCCCTTTGTAACGCTTTAGCTAGGGGCTCAGTCTTTCCCACTTCCTATGCCTCTGCTCGGGTTTTTATGGCTTTAATTTAAACAAGGGCTTCTTGATATCTTGTTTACGAAGCTGCCAAAGTGAAAAATTCCTTTATTATATGAGGCTCAAAGTCTGCTGGTTATCTTGGTTTCACAACACACAACATTATTATCCCAGCTGCCCCTTATCACTCAGTGCTGGTGTGCTTGTATTACTGTGTCTAAGCTGCCAGCTTATTTCCTATCCAACTTTACCGGGATCTTCAAACTGCAACAAGCGTCAGCCTCTTCTTGATCGGTTAGATATCTTGGGTGATGTCATGACAGCTGGTAAAACTTTAAAAAGTAACTTTTTCGATTTATTCAACTGTTGTATTTATCAAGCAAATAAAGAATCTCTCTTCCTTCTTGGGTTCTTATAGGTGGTGGTGTCCATACTGGAGAGGAAGATTAGCGCCCATGCTGGAGCCTGGGCAGGTTTCGGAGAGGCCTCAGTTACTGGTTCTGGGGATTGAGCAGGAAGGGCTGGGAGGCAGGAGCTGAACCACCCTGGTGCACACCTTCTGGGCAACCAGCTGCTTTTCAGTCAGTTTGAATGCAACACCTTGGCTGTAAAGCCATTACAGTGTGTCTGGCACCCCAGAGGTGTGTGAGTGTAGTCCTGGGTAGGGGTCGGCTCTCTGCCACACCAGCCCAGGATTGGGCCTCTGCTGCTCTAATGATGGGGACAAGAAACACTGAACAAGGTTGTTTTTAAAGCACTTGATAAATGAGATACTTGAGGTTGGTCACTGTTGATCATAGTTTTTCTTCTTCAAAAGATCATTAAAATCCGTGCCCAGACAGAGGGAATCAACATCAGTGAGGAGGCGCTGAATCACCTGGGGGAGATCGGTACCAAGACCACTCTGAGGTGAGCCAGTTGTTCCCTGGACCTGCAGCTGCCTGGAGCTGCTCCAGACCCTACTGGTGCCTTCTCAGCAAGGGCTCTGGGGACATAAATGTTCATTGGAACATAAAGGCAGGCTTCCTTCGCAGGGCATAGGACCATGTCTGCTCTTACTGGTGTGTTGGGTCTTGTCCCAGAACACTGACGTAGAGTGCAGAATATTTATTTATTTATTTATTTTAATCCTCATCCGAGGACATTTTTCCATTTTTTGTACAGACAGAGTGGGAGGGAGAGAGAGAGAGAGAAACATCGACGTGAAAGGGACACATCGAGTGGCTGCCACCCGCATGACCAACCAGGGCCGGGGACAAACTGCAACCGAGGTACATGCCCTTAGCGGGAACCGAACCCGAGAGTGCAGAATATTTAGATCATGGTGTTTTAAAAGCTAGAGTAACTGGTTAAGTTCCCTTGTCCTGTAGCAGGTGCACTCCTCTGGTCAGTCCCTTTGGTAGAGAAAATGGACAGAACCAGAGACCAGGGTCCAGGGCAGGGATTTCATTAGCTGGGCCCTGCCTCACTACCTCACTCTCTTGCCCCACTGGCTCTATTCTCCAGGCATGTCTTGGGTAGGGATGGTGGGTATAGGCAAGTGTGAGGGAGGGAATACAGACATAGACTGCTTTCCTGACTGTTCAATGTCTCAAAGCCATTGCCTATGGGGGATGTCCATCCTTAGTGTTCTGACTCCTTGTGAAATCATGACTTCACTCCTGTCTTTATTTCACTCCTAAGGTTGAAGCAGAATTGCAAGCTGTTTTGTTTGGGTGGAGTGGTGCTTTAAACAAAAATCTTGGATTTTCTTCCCTTTGGATAGGGCATGTGCTTTCAGGTGGCTGTGTGTTCATTTCCCTGCCATGTTCAGTGTTCTGATCATCACCTGCCACTAAATTTGTGGTCCCTTTCAATCAGCAGTGGAATTACCTTCTGTCGGAGAACTTTTACACTGACAAAAATTTGGGGGGTGGGACTGGATTATGTTGGTGACTTCTGACCTGTCAGTGGGGTCATGACTGCAGCTGAGAAAGGACAGTTCTCGCCCAGCTGGTGTGACTCACTAGTTAAGCATCGACCCATGCACCAAGAGGTCCCCGGTTCGATTCCTGGTCAGGGCACATGCCCAGGTTGTGAGCCCAATCCCCAGTGGGGGGCATGCAGGAGGTTGCCAGTTGATGTTCTCCCTCATTGATGTTTCTATCTCTCTCCCTCTCCCTTTCTCTCTCTAAAAAAATCAATTAAGAAAAAAAAAAAAGAAAGGACAGTATCATATCTCCTTGTCTGCTGTGTCTGCAACAGCTATCACAAGCCCTGTATTGGGCTTAGCCCCTGGTGTTAGGGCTCCTGTTGATCTGGGAAGGGGTTTCTGTCTGGCCACCATTTCACTCCTGCCTTGGCTCTTGTTCACTCTAGGTACTCAGTGCAATTGCTGACTCCAGCCAACTTGCTTGCTAAGATCAACGGGAAGGACAGCATTGAGAAAGAGCACGTTGAGGAGATCAGTGAGCTCTTCTATGATGCCAAGTCATCAGCCAAAATCCTGGCTGACCAGCAGGATAAGTACATGAAGTGAGTCTTTCTGCAAAGAGACGCTCTCTGGCATGCCTGGGCCCGGGTACAGCCTACAGATACAAGGTTTACCCCTGGCCTTCAGATTGTGTTCCCACTTAGGTGTGGTTAGCAGCATGTTCGGTGTGCAAAGTGTTTCTTTTTAAGTTACCATAATTTCTTCCGTGCTTGCTTTGAAGGAATCCTGCCTCACGTGGCATGTTTTCTAATAAATCCTTACATTTTGATGACATCTCTTTCTCTCTCTCCTTTTAATTAAAAATAAAAATTTTGTATTTTAGAATAGTTTTAGATGTAAAGCATTGTTGTGAAGATAGTACAGGGCGTTCCCACATAACTCACACCCTGTTTCCCTATATGTAGCACATTGGTCACACTTAATGAATCAATACTGACACATTATTATACTTCATTCACATTTTATGTCCCTTTTCTGTCCCAGGATCCCATCCAGGATCCCACATTACATTTAGTTGTCATTTCCTCTTAGGTTCCTTGTGGCTGTGACAGTTTCTCACACTTTCCTTGTTTATAATGACCTTCACTGTTCTGAAAAGTACTGATCAGGTGTTCTGTTAAGGATTAAAATGTATTTTAATAAGTTGGTGCTGCATTACAGCTTTTTTTTTTTTTCCAGAAAAATTTCAAAGGTATTGGGGACAAATCAAATGTGGTACACCAATAAAAAAAATGCACAGCATAACTACCTAAGATAAGCAAGGCTAAGAGCTACTGTCCGACATTTTAACACACAGCAACCCTCTTCCCAAGATTGTACTAGGCCTATCAAGAAAAGCTGGGAACAGCAGCATCAAACACACAAGAGTCATTCCTGGGTGGTCCTTACCCAAGAAAAAGATAGAGGCAAGTTAACACAAGATTTTTTTAAAGGTACTCTAAAATGAAAATCTCTAAGAGAATGTCTTCCTTAGGACATGAAGGGATAATGCATGGGATATAACAGAATCCTGTATGTATGTTATCTGTGACCTCTGCGGACATTTGCCTGATTCCCACAGGGGCTAAGGTTATTGGGGGTTGTTACTGGTTTTTGTGATACATGTGGCAATATCTCAGGTTGGGGAATTTAAGAAGGAGAACACAAATATAACAGGATAAACAAAGAATGTAATAATCAAGATTAATGGGGGCTCTAACTGGATCCGCTTTGCCATTGTTCCCCTCTCCAGGCCTTCAGTGATCACAAGACTTCAGGAATGCACCACATAGATATGATTAAACAATATACCACACAGAAATGATTGTTAAATATTGCCCCTCCCTTGCCCTATGCTTTCAGCATACTCCCTAGAATAGTACAGGCAGGGAAGACCTAACTATGGAGAGGAATCCCTAACATACTTCCAGGGTAGAATTTTAGCTAGTCCAAAAAGGGTCTTTTTCTTAAGGGTTTTGTAAACTAGACACTGCAGTTTCATTACTACCTCCAACTTTTGGAGTAAATTCAGCTCCAGGAGTTGCACAATTCATTGCAGGAAGGGTTCCACCAATTGCCCCAATTCCTTCCACTGTAGCAGCTTGGCCAAAGCTTTTGGTAGTTGGTGGGGTCAATCTCAGGGTTCCATCTCGCATCATAGTAACAGGTCCTGGAGAAGCTAGGACACCAGAAGGCACAGGAAGAGGGAGCATGGTAACTCTTTTGTTTATGCCCATAGTGCCTCCCATAGACATCTGGCTCATCTGAGTCTCCTGCTCTCTCCCATCAGAGAAGGTTCCCTTGAATCCTTCCTGCTGTCACTGCATCTTCTTCAGGACACCTGCATTCCTCCTCCTGCCTGAGCTCCAGTTGCTTTCGTTTTTGTACTTCTTGGTTGTGTAGGTGTTCCATCCTTCGAAATCCTTGAGGCTTCATAAAATCCTGCCTCATTAGTACGACCTGGTGCTCATGGTGAGCAGCCTCTATCTCCATCTCTAGTTTCTCATGAACTTCCTTGATGTGGTTCACTTGGTCCTGCTGCTGTTTCTCTGTTGCAGTGAACACCTAGGTGCAGCGGTTCTCAACCTGTAGGTCGCAACCCCTTTTGGGGTCAAATGACCCTTTCACAGGGGTCGCCTAAGACATAACAGTAGCAAAATTACAGTTATGAAGTAGCATATGGTTGGAGGTCACCACAACATGAGGAGAACTGTATTAAACGATTGCAGTATTAGGAAGGTTGAGAACCATTATATCTAGTGCATGGCATACTCATACTTAAAAGGAACCAGGCTGTGCAAATCTAGGTGGCTGCTCCTGCTCTTTGTGAAATTGCTGGTTCTTTAAAATCAGATTCTCTGGAAGTCCCTCTTCCTCAACTAACTGGTCCGTGGGCTCCACAGTCACAAACCAAGGAAATGCAGTTTGCAGGAAGGAGCCTCCACTGCATCTGTCCAGAGCCTCCCAAGCAGCTGGTTTCCCTGAGAATTCAACAATGCCTTTTCCTGAGGGCCTTCTTGATCATTCACAATGACTATGGCCCTCTCCACCTGGCCAAACACAAAAAAGGCTATCTCCAGCAGTTCGCTGGACACATGGTGAGGAAGGTTTTGGACTGTAAGGGATGCACCATGGCAGGCAAAGAGCATATGCAGCTGCTTTCCACAGAGTGGCATGTTGTCCAACTCCACTTTAGCAATCTCCACCAGGTTCATGTTTCCAAGCAGATAAAGCCAAAGCCCTTATCCTTATTAATGAAGACTTTGCCTGCCTTCCTATATTTCTCAAGTAGTTTCCTCATTTTCTCAGTGATGTCAGGAGGAAGATTGCCCACAAAGAGCTGGCTACATTGGGTGAAGGTCTTCACTCCTGGTTTCCTACAATTCTACAGGTCAATAGGCAAGCCTTCATTTTTTACTGTTGTCCATTTTCAAGTTTGGTGGTGGTGATGCTGATGATGCTTCCTTGGAGCATGGTTTTGCTTCTCCAAGTTAAAGATTTTATTGCTCTGCCTTTTTTTTTGCACCCCTCTACCAACTATTCTGTCCTCAAAGTAACAGCAGCCTTTAAAAATTTTTTTTATAAATCCTCATCTGAGAACATGCTTATTGATTTTTAGAGAGAAAGAGAGAAACATCAATTGGTTGCCTCCCATAAGCACCCTAACTGGGGATCAAACCCCACAACCTAGGTATGTGCCCTGACCAGAAATCAAACCCTCAAACTTTCAGTGCATGGGAAGACATTCCAGCCAATTGAACCACCCGGCCAGGGCACAGTGGGAATATGTTTGATATTTTTCTCATGATTAAACTAGGATTGTAGGTTATTGGAAGTAAGACCATACAGGTAAAGTTCCATTTTTATCACATACCATCAACAGATTGCTGTTGGTGTTGAACTGTGTCCCCTAGCTGAGGTCATATTTGTCAGGTTTCTCCACTGTAGTTACCCTTTTACCTCTTCCCACACTGTCCTCTTTGGAAGAAGCCTCTGAGCATAGTCCACACTTAAGTGGTGGGGAGTTTTGCTCCACCTTCTTGAGGACTGAGCATCTACATAAATTATTTGGAATTCTACACAGGAGATTGCTCTTGTTGGCATGTATGTTTGTTTATTCAATCATTTATCTTATTATGGACTCATGGATATTATATACTTTGTGTTATAATCCAATACTATGTTATTTTGTTGCTTAAAGTAGTCCAGCTTTGACCAGAGTTTTTTCCATTGGTTTCTGTGTCTCTATCACTGGTACTACATCTCTTTGTTAGTTCACTGAAGTGGGGCTTTTAGTCCCTTGAGAGAAAAGAGAAATAGCAGTGCCTGACAGATACCATACCAGAATATTCTCACCTGGTAGGATGAGCACGCCCTTTTTTTTTTTTACCAGGCTATCTCCTGTCTGCTAGCTCTGTGCTGCCCGAGGCAGGGCTTAGCCACAGAAGCAGTGCCTTGGTACAGGTTGGTTGTTTTGTTTTGTTTTTCCCTCATGGGCAGGATCTTCATGCTATTGTATGTGCAGGAGAAGGGGACTAACCAAGATGGCCATTTTGATCCAATTATTGCTCTAATCCAAGTTAACCATGAGGTCCTAGGGTGGGGGAAAACTGTTCTCTCATTAGTAATGATCATCTGAACATGTCCAGGGGACTGCGGGACAGGAGGGCTGAGATAATGTTGTGGGCGTACATCCAGTCTTCTGAGAGCCCTCAGCCTGTGCTCAGGCCCTGAGAAGTACCCAGCTAGTCCTTGCTGCCAGAATGGACCTTCTGGTCTGGCCCTTGAAGAAGATACCTAGTAGGGGGTTCTTTGTGGGGGAGAGTGAGATACTTCTTGAAGTCAGGGCTGAGTTTTGTGGCCTGCCCTGGCTGCTCATGTCCTGTGTTTCTGACCTCCCAACTTAAGCCACATTTGATAAACAGAATAGTGCCAGCCAGTGTGGCTCAGTGGATTGAGCATCCCATGGACTGAGAGGTCTTGGTTTGATTCCGGATCAGGGCACAAGCCTGAGTTGCAGGCTCAATCCGAAGTAGGGAGCGTGCAGAAGGCAGCTCATCAATGTTTCTCCCTCACTGATGTCTCTATCTCTCCCTCTCTCTCTAAAAAATTAATAAAAGTACATTAAAGAAAAACAGAATAGTGATACCTCTAATACCAGAGTACCAAGAGCTGATTGTGGGCTAGGGCCTGTGTTTAATGCTTTATATTTCCTTTCACATTCTCATAGCAGTGCTATGACATTGGTGCTGTTATGTCACTTGCCCCACTGGTAAGAGACAGAACCAGGAGGACTTGGAATCAGAGTAGTTGAAGTCTGTGCACCTATCCCCTATGATTATAACACCTCCTTCAGTGTGCTGAGTTGGAGGGGCCCTCAAGATCTGACCATCCCAGGCAGGTGAGGCAAGTAGGGGTAGGTATGAGGAAGGTGACTTTCCTAAGGTGAAACCCCAGAGGACAAGAATCAGGCTCTGCCCACGTGAACCTCTTTCTCCAGCCCCCAAACCTTTCACAGTGTTTGAGGAGCAGTAGAGACAAAGTGGTGATGGCAAACCTCTCAAGTGCAGGTTGGGACAGAGTCCTCCCTCCCAGCTGCTCAGGAAACCCTGATGTCCAGGGGTCCTGGTGGGGAGGGTGTGTGTGTGTGTGTGTTCCTCAGGAATCCTGCTCCTTGGTGCTCAGAAATGTGGTCTACCTCACTAGTCTGGCCTCCAAAGTGAGGGAGTTGGTTCTGGATAAGTGGGAAGTTTGGGTTATTTTTTTCCAGCAAGACCTGTGATTATTACATTAATCTTCTAGGTGAAGTTTTTACAACCAATCCCTCACTGACTATGGGAAGTTTCTCCATTCATTACCAAGAGGGAAACAGAGCCTGTCGGGGGGAAAGTATTTGTTACATCTTATCAGGCTGACACACAATCTACCAACAATTATAGCAGCCCCATTTTTTTTGCACTGTTTCAGGTCTGGTGTGAAAAAATGTTATATTAAAGTGAGGCAGGGTGGGAGTCGGTCATAGGAAATTACTGATATTCCAAGCCCTGGGCCCATGCTCTTGGGTGCCTCCTTGAAAACTCATTGGGTGGGCTGGAGAGGGAGTGTTTGCATGTTCCTGTGCTAATGGCCCAATATGAAAGCAGGAAGGGTTCTTGAAAGACTGTTGCTAGACCTTGCTGAGAATCTACCTTGTACTCCTCCTTTATTTTCTCAGTCCACATACCTGCTCACAGCCACAGCTCTTTGGTTGCACCCTCTATATGGGTTCATAGGATATTTTGTTTTTTAGGACTAAACAGATGGTGTCACGCCAGGAAGTGACTTCTTGGTTAGCAAATTTTTCTCAACCATTTTTCTAATAA